ACCCTCCGCCGCGAGCCAGGGAGCGCGAACTCCGGCCTCTCAGCCCATGACTGCGCCGACATGTAAGGGGGACGCCCTGGGCCATGTTGGTTCGACATTGGGGGGTGACGGCATCCCGGTGGTTACTCGATCCATCCGGCCCTTCCACGGCGCGTCGTTCGGAAAGGGCCAATTGGTAGGGACCCGCTGAAAGGGATGTCCGACGAGTTGAGTCCCGGACAAAAGACTGTGTAACCAGTGGTGGTTGCGCTCACTGAGCTTAACCTCCAGCCTCTTTCTGCACTCTGGGCACCTGATTCCCGGTAAAAAATCCGCTTTGCTATTATTACCACTAGGATCGTGTAATTGCGCTATGTTTATGATATGTGCATGAACGACATTACCATCGACCAATCCAATTGTGTAATATTTTTCAATCCAATCATTGCGCCTCCCATTGTCGGTCGTCCAATCCCCTGGTCAAAATGTGTCGGTTCGATGTCGGATGCCACCTACATGTAATATTAAAGGTTTTGCTTTGGCTGAATCCCGAAACCCCGAGCGCACTACCACCTGCGCCAGGATCGAACGCCGGTGCATGCACGGCCTCGATACGTGCATGCAGCGCAGTCGATACAGGGCACACTTTGTCCACCGCCAAAGTAAACGTGTCCCCTCTGAACCTCCTGATCCGTATCAACCACACAAAGTACCACAACCAAACAAGACATTATCGTTATCGACGGTACCATCCGCGGTAGACGTCATGAATCGCTCCAGGACACGGTATACATTCGCTATCGACTGCTACATCTCACATGCAAACAGTCTCAGGCCGTGTCCCACGAAACGACGCTGCAAGCCAGATGCCTTCGACCGCCACGTCATGAACCCATGAAACCCCGAAACCCCGAGACCTCTGTTGGTACCTGCAGCATCGACTAAAAAGGAACCTGCACATTCGAAAATGGCAAGGAATGGACGACGAATACAGTACAACTTAATACAGACGCTACAAACATCAAAAGCTCAGCCGATGGTGACTTACCACGCAACATTCGTCACGGAGGGCGACGCCACAGTATGACGTAATACCATTTCTCGCCGCAGACACCAGAGACAGCCCAAAGATACTCGCCTCCCCTCAAACGCCAGAGAACACAGTACGGCGCATGCCATTATACCGGGTTGACGGTGTTTGCAGCGATCGTTGGAGTAGTGTTGGTGGTGGGTGCTCTTCGGTGGGAATCACCGCAGGGCAAACACAACCGACATGACTCCAACGAACGCTGCAAACACAACCGACACGACTCCAACGAACGCTGCAAACACCATCGACAATGTGAGTTTCTTCTGCCGATCCGCAAGTCGTCTCGGTTGCGTGTATCCTTCTGTTAACGGGGTCTCAACACAAAGCGTACGCCATCAAGAACGATGCCACCCAAGCAGCATTCACATCGACAGCCTAGAATCTGTTCATGTTGTGGTCGTCGGTGGTGGGTGTGACGTTCGGCGTTTAGTGGAATCTCCGCCGGCGTTTTCGCGTTCTGTGGCTGCAGTGGCAGACGCCCTGCGGTGAGACTATGTTTACCACTGAAGGACACACACGACTGAGACGACTCCAACGAACTGAATTGACGCCATGGACCGCCAAAAGTGACTCATACCGGACCGCTGCAGTCGCCAGGGAAAGCTTCAATGTATTGCATTGTAACAGGGTACCCTACATGACACCCCAAACCAGTATCCCGCCGCAATCACGATTGATACGTTTGGCGGGATCTATTTCATTTTTTAGTAGTGCTTGTAGTGGGTCTTGTGGGAACACCCACGACATGACCCACCGCAATCTACCACCGGCAAGTCCCCTGTTGGGTGTGGAGTATCTTAGCAAGAGACAGGTAGTATCCTTGTTGGCGCATTCCATGTCCATTGGTCGAGGATATGTCAACACGACGAATTGAGATCGATAGGGGATGCAAATGTGCGTTGTGAATCAGTAGAACTAAGACCTTTAACATTGTCAGTCTTCTTTTACCTTTGAACCCGGTGCATCGAGTTCTAAAGGAGTCACTGTCAGTTCAGGACCGGCAGACACAACAATAAAATTATTAGTTTCGTTTGACTAAAGGAACTCAAGCTTGCAAGCACCATGGACTGCGAGCCCGCCACCCCGCGTGCCTTGGCACCCCCGACGACATACGACCCACAACAAGGTTCGTTGTCTGACCGCACCCTCGCTTCTACAGCGCGTCGGCGGCGGCGGCGACCCTGCAGCCAGAAGCTGCAACGGAACCGACGGCGAGCCTCCCACGTGTGCAGGCAATACCACGGATCCCGGAGACGTCCGGGCAACAACAAGGATACCCACCAGGCGGGGCCTACGGTGGTCTCCCAGCGCAGTCCTACCGCCCACTAGCGCAACTGTCGTCGCGGGTGGGTAGTGGCTCGTCGATGGTTATGTCCATCGTCGCGCCCAACTACCATGGAGTGGCAACGACAACGACCCGACAACCGGGCCAAGTGCCAGCCTACCACGGCCGACAGTCGTTGATGGGTATAATTCACGGTGGACAACGTGTCGCACCGTCACAACATACGTCGTTCCATCATCACGTTGACGCGGCGCCTGTGCAGTCGCAGGGCCAAACGTAGACCGCCCATGTACACGCGCACGAGCATGCCCTACAACAGCACGAGATGCAATTGGCATCGAGGCAGACCAAGCGACAAGCCCACTTTGAGTGGGAGCAGCGCCAGATGCACCAAGCAGCGGCGCAGTACAAGTACGCGGTCGAACAAGATGCGACGGCGCACACCGCGCAGTTCAAGGCGAACTTGGAGCGCTAGGCGTCGGGTACAAGGCGCACCTCGACCTGGAGCAGCAGCGTGCCTTCAACAATGCCAACCTCAACTGTCAACAGATGTAGCAGCGGCAGGTCCAGCAGCAGCAAGAGGCGCAGACTACAATGGACCAGCGTCTTGCAGCCAAGCGGCAAGAGGAGCGTGCCCGGTAGAACGCGCAGCTGCGCGCAGCCGGGGTCAACATCCCGACCGAGGGAATGGCCGAGAATACTCAGTTGCCTGGGTCGCCGATAACTTCGGGAGGGGGTGAGGCCCCTCCAGGTGCTCGAAGTAGCAGCCTGCCTCCGTACTTTGACTCGGCGTGGCATCGCACCAGCTCGGAGCTCCCGCCAGGGAGTTTCGAAGACGGGTCGACATTCTACACGATGGGCAGCCATCCGATGTTGGCTCCAGTGCGACATCCAACCCAGACTAGCCCGTTACCACAGTTAACGGCGGCGCCGCTCATCAGCAGGTACACGCCCACGAAGCTACAGTACCTGTCTATGGCAACGACAGCTTCAAGGAGCGCGACCAACAGAAGTTCGCCAAACGTTTCACCGTGTACGCCCACCGCCAAGACGCTATTAGCGTGAGCAGCGGTGTGCGCATCGGGACGGTATCAATGAGCTCCTGCATGACGACGGAGGCTCTCGCCACCACGCGCGGTTCCAATTCGATCGTCCCATCGAGGACATCCGCGAGACGGAGTGGGAGGCGATGTTCGAGGCGTCGATGCTCATACCAACGTCGAGCAAGGCTGTCGTCGTCGCCCGCCTCAAACAGCTGTCGATGGACAACACCCTCCTTCGCACGAGCGACCACCATGACGGACTGGCAGGCGAGGTACATGGGCATCCTCACGGATGAGGCAGCCGAGGACATCGACTTCTTCCATCCCAATGCCGTCATCCAGGCGCTCATGCATGGCATCTAGCCCGACGGCGCGAAGGCGCTGGTGCGCAACAGCTACGACTTCGATGACAAGGAGATCAAGTTCAACATCTCCAAGTTCTGGAGCCATGTGCGCGATGTACTAAGCAACGTGCTCCCGCTATGGCGGCCGAGGCGGACGCACTCCGCGCCAAGGGTATCAGCAACAAGAAACGTGCCGAAACAGTCCGCCGAGGTCAAACGACTTCAAGACAAGGCCACACTGACAGCAGCGGTGGTGAAACGACTGACGTTTGAAGCCAGGGCCCGCCCCGCTGGTGGAGGTGGTGGCGGCGGTGGTTGCGGTAGCAGACCTCGAGCCCCAACAACACCAGTGTGTCGTGCTGGACTTGTAAAGGCCCGCATTACCTGAGCGACTGTCCGACCGCGTCCGAGTCCACGAAGCTAGCGATCGCCAAGACGAAGCGCGACGAGACGCGCAAGAAGCCTGCTTGGTCAAAGCGGCTTAAAGAACCTGGCCTTCCCCACGGCACCTTGCCAGGGCGTGTGAACGACGAGGACATCACAGCCATGGTGCTAGTCTTACTCGACTCCAGGTCGAACTGCGCCGCAATCATCTCGCGCGGCCTCGCGACGCGTCTCTCGAAGCGCAGCGGCGGCGGAGAGATGCTCACGGCGTCGATGCCCCAGCCCATGAAGGGCTTTAGGCAGGTGCCCATGCTTCTCACGCGCTATATGCTCGTCAACAAGATTGTCTTGGGCATGGCCGATGGTCCTATCACGCTCTTGCATGTCTTAGCGTGGATCGACGAGACCGACAACGGTGCCAACATCACGCTTGGTCGCAAGGTGATGGAGACGTTGGGGTCTGGAGGGTTTTCTCAAAACCGCACGTGAGAAGCGCGATGTCTGGGACTTGGCGGACATAGTTGCCACCGATGACTCAGCGCCGACGGCGCTCCAACGGGTTTCCAAGACCTGGCACCGCGGCACCGTGGACGAACCGGACCCTGTGGTAGACGACGAAGACGACAACGCCGCTGCCTATGCACCAGATGCCGACCACGATGCCGTTGTCAAAGAGCTCTTGCTCTACGCCGTGCGTGCTGCGCAGGCGAATGGCCTCTCCGAGGGCGAGACACGCGAGGTCCACAGCCTCGTCATGGCAGCTATCGACGTCTTTCGCGTCGCGCCTCGCAAGAGACACCGGTCGAGATTGAGGCGCTCAAGGTCGTCCTACAACAGGGTGCTGTATCCGTTCGATGCGCGGCGCTACAACCCTTTCTACACTGTGTTTTTGGCGAACACCGTGGCTCGACCAAAGCTTGGCCGTCGTCAACCCGGACTCGCACTGGGCCTCGGCGCCGCGCGTCGTGCCCAAAATGAACGGCTAGCTACGCCTCACAGTGGATACACGTGGCGTGAATGCAGTCACGGTTCCGTTGGTGTGGCCGATGCCCATCGTTGTCATGTCCCGGCTGTTGGGAAAGATGGTGTTCTTCGTTGGTGATTGGTTCAGGGGTTTCTGGCAGCTTGGGTTGCACCCAGACTGTCAGCAGTGGTTCTCGGTGCTCGGCGTCAACTGCGTCGTCACGCCGACGCGCGTGCAGATGGGACAGACTGATGTCATCGCCTACTGTCAACGCGTTGCGCAGGAAGTGTACGGCGAGAAGTACGGACACGGGCTCGAAGGCTGGGTCGATGACGTCCTCGGCAGCGCCACCGACGAGGGCAGCCTCATCAACCTCCTCAAGTTCCTCCTCGCCCGGTGCGCCCAGTACGGATTGAAATTGCACCCAGGGAAGTGTACCTTCTATGCCACAGAGGTTGTGTGGTGCGGTTGCCGGGTCAGCGCCGCCGGAATCAGCCATGACCCCGACCGTATCGCGGGTCTCACGGGCCTCTCGACGCCGACGACGGCGGACCAACTACAACAATTTATCTGTGCATTGAACTGGATGCGCCAGTCCATCCCGCAGTATAACCCTTTGATGGCGCCGCTGCAGGCACTTCTCGAGGTCGTGTGCTCGGCCGCGGGCACGCGCAAGAAGACGTGTCTGGCTTCAGTGGCGCTCGCGGACCACGGCTGGGCGCCAGCGCACGCCCAGTGCTTCGTCCAGTGCAAGCAGGCGCTCATGCAGCTCGTGACCCTCTCTCATCCCAACGAGGACTTCGACTTCTACCTGTGCACGGACGCGAGCCACGAGTTCCACGGCGCCGTGCTCACGCAGGTGCGCACCGGCCAGCCGCAGTTGCCCGTCGGCGAGCAAGACCATCGTCCTTTGGCCTTTGTCAGTGGTGCGTTCGACAAGACGCAGCTGCGGTGGAGCGTCACTGAGGAGGCGTACGCGATCATCTACGCTGTCAAGCGCCTCGATTACCTTCGTCATCGAGCGCGCGGCTTCATTATCTTGACGGACCACCGCAACCTGGCGTTCATCTTTGGTGTCGAACCGTCGCCGGCACAACCGCGCTACCTAGCGGACAAGTTGGCGCGCTGGGCCGTGGCCCTCACCTGCTTCCGCTATGACATCCGCCATGTGTCCGGTGACGAGAACGCCTGGGGCGACATGCTCTCACACTGGGGTAACCGGGCAGCCACGGTGGACGCCGTTGCATGGGTAGCTTCCGATGACATCACCATCAGCAACAATGCCAGTCCTCTGGAGTTGAACTCCAGTCGGGCACTCCAGGTGCGACGTCTGGTGACGGTGCCACCAGTGACGCCGTCGCCGCTCGGCGCCGACTTCGAGTGGCCGACGCTCGAGTCACTCACCATCGTCCAGCGCAAAGCGAAGACTGAGTTCACCAGGATCAAGGCTAGCTTGGTCTTCGACAACCCCGACGGCATCGGGCGCATCAACGGGTGCATCTGGATCCCAGCCTCCGCCTTGGACACGCAGCTCACCCTTCTCGTTATCGCCCACGCCGGTGCGATGGGCCACCGTGGCCAGGCTGCGACTCGGGAGGCGCTGACGGGCACCTTCTCGTGGCGCAACGTCACCGAGGACTTCGCGCTCTTCGTGCGCCAGTGCCTCAATTGCGTGTGCGTAGGCAACGGCACGGTGCCGCGTCCTCTCGGTGAGACGCTGCACGCGACAGTCCCGAACGAGCTCATCCACTGCGACTTCCTGTCTATGCCGGACTGTTACATCCACGTCATCGTCGACGACGCGAGTCGTTTTTGCCAGCTCACGGTCCACGACGGGTGCCGAGCGGTCGACGCCATCGATGCACTTCAACAGTGGTTCGCGAACTTTGGCGTCGCACCCAACTGGGCATCAGATCAGGGACCCCATTATAAGAACCAAGTCATGGAAGAGGTGCGCCGCCAGTACGGCAGCGTACATCACTTCTCGCCAGCCCACTGCCCGTGGGCTAATGGCACCGTCGAGGTACTCATGCGCTCCGTCCTCAAGACCATGAAGACGGTGCTCGCCGAGCTGCACGTCGCCGCCAAGGAGTGGCGCTCGTTCGTGCCACTGGTGCAACACTCGTTGAACCACACTCCGAGTGCGAAGCTTGTCACCGGCAAGGCGCCGATCACGGCCATGACCATGCTCCCGCCCGGGCATGCGCTTTCGGCCTACCGCGTCGCGGACGAGGTGCAGGAAGTCCCGGAAGCTTCCCTGGCCCGCCTGCGTGAGGACAACGTTATCAAGCTCGCTGCAGCCCGGGACCAGCTCCACCGGGAGGCCGCCAAGACCAGTGCCACGCTCCGGGACAACGAGCGTGCGAGACGCAACAAGAAGCCGAACGTAAAACAATTCTTCTTTAACCTCGGAGATTACGTTCTAATCGGCCAAGTTTCAGAGTCATTCGCCAAGAAACTTCAAGTGCAACGGCTCGGGCCGCGTCGGATTGTGACAATCGTACGCGACTGGGTGTACCGCGTCGAGGACCTGCGCAATGGCGCCATCACTTCGCACCATGCCTCGTATCTCAAGTTCTTTGCCGCCCGCGACTTGCTTGTAACGCAGGCGTTGACAGATCACGTCGCATACGTCGAGGGCGGCCACCATGTTGAGTGCTTCCTCTACTGCCGCTTCGACCGGACGATCCACTCGTGGATGCTCCGCGTCAAGTGGCTCGGGATAGACATCCTCGAGGCCTCGTGGGAGCCGCCGGCAGACATGGCCACGGACGTGTCAGTCATTGTTGCCGCCTATCTACGCAAAGCGAGCCGCGGGAACGGCAACGTCGCCAAGCTCAAGATGGTGCTCGCTATCTCGCACCCAGACGTCGTGTAGACCATGGGGGAGTTGTTGGGTGTGGAGTATCTTAGCAAGAGACAGGTAGTATCCTTGTTGGCGCACTCCATGCCCATTGGTCCAGGATCTGTCAACACGACCGAAGTGAGATCGATAGGGGATGCAAATGTGCGTTGTGAATCAGTAGAACGAAGACCTTTAACATTGTCAGTCTTCTTTTACCTTTGAACCCGGTGCATCGAGTTCTAAAGGAGTCACTGCCAGTTCAGGACCGGCAGACACAATATCCCTCCGCAAGCCCACTAGGGTGGCCACAGTACCAGTACACACGACGAACCGAAAGACCACCAACACGACAAGACCCACAAAAAGACCATTGACAAAACCAAGAATCGTAGCTAGCAACGGTGGGAGTTCCGCGTGGTGGCCTTGTTGGTGTATGCGTCAGAGCAGCTTCAACTGCACTCACGCACACACCAACAAGGCCACCACCGATGCCAGTGAAGCGCGGTGTTTGCTGGAAGTACTGGGGTCACTGATGAAATCGCAGAGCTTCTAGCAACCACAGGGCTTCACTTTTCCGAAGGGACATGTTGTGTTCATTGCGGTTGACTTCTTCGGCAACTTGTGCCATTTCGCGAGGTCCGATTATTCGACCATTCGTCCAAGATGTTTAGAACAAAAGTATAGTAGAAGATCCATAGTGGACTAACAAGTAGAAATTCAGTTTTCATTTACACGATTAGCTACCAGTCGTCGTTCTCGGTGGCATATGTCCTGTGGTGAGACCCGGTCTCTCACGGCATAAATCACCGAGAACGACGTCAAGGAACTCCGTAACACCACCAATTTCTATTGCGGTGTGGGGAGTACAGATAACGACGGACGAAATAGCACTTCAAATTTGTATTGGGACAAACTACTTCGAACGTAGAATACTTAAATCAATACGAAATTTTAGTATCGCAATAGGACACCTGGACTGAAGAGATGTCGACTAGTTATCCGGTTGAGAACCGGATGATGGGCACGGTTACAGACGGAGTCCCAGTTAATTGAGTTTGGATTATCATTTGTCCCAGGTTACGCGAATAGGTGTATCCGGATATGATAATTCCCTAATTGAAACAGTGTTTCGGGACAAAACAACAGTGGAACTGATTTAATGAGGGAATTATTCACACATTATCAGAAGTCCCATCGCAGCTCGAGGAATTCACTGGCAGTAGGGGGTGACGCCCTGCTGGAATAACGCCGGATAAACATCCGGATACGTGAATTCTTGCACAGTTGTTACACAGATCAGTAGAGTTGAATTTCACACCACGGGGATCTACAGCCACAGAATTTATCCATACTTGACTTGAGCTTAACCGGTTTCGTTGTTGATGAATACTTCGTTTTTTATCTTCTCATGACATCGAATTTTTCGCATGAGTATTTGCTCCTTGCCATGGAGATGCATTTCACGGAGGACACTGCGACCGCCGACGACTACAGACGACGAGGGATTTTAAGGGACACTTGGGACTTCGAATTTAGCATGAAATCGTAATGTGATTGGCTTAAGACATTCGAAATTCGAGAATAAATGTAGCCAACCACACAGCCGCAGCTGCATTTTCATATTTTGAACAAACACGTATTTTATAATAATTGGTTCGATGGTTCAAGATATTTTTTGTCTACCGGCGCTATGGCGCAGTGGTTAGAGTGTCAGTGTCAAATAGGACTATTTTAGGTGTTATCCTAATACTATTATTGCCCAATGGGCTCATCCAATACCTAATGCCTATGCACATGCATGTGCGTAGGGCGGCACTGGTTTTCCGAGGTTTAGAAATAAATACGCAGAGGTAGCAAGAAATACCGTGATTGGGAGAACCAGGTGTTGCGGTCCACTGTGTGATGGCCGCGGGAATGATGGGTATCGGAATGTTCGTGGAACAACGCAGTGATGATGATGGGCACCATGCGGTCGTGAAACGCTCTTGTAGTTGGACTTGGCATGTGCTTTACCTCCCATAACACACAGGTCCACGCTAATGGCGCTGATCGGTCGCAGAGGTCGGCGCAAGGAGCAGCGTGTAGGGGTACTTGGTCCACAGCGGTCGTTAAGGCTCTTGGACGCGGAGGGTTTGAAGGACTTCGAGGACAGAGGAACGGAGAGCGCAGTCGGGGTGTTGTAGGCGGAGCCATCGGCGTACAGACATCTTCCAGCCAAGGAACGACAGCTGATCCACGCTGGGGGATGCAGCGGAGTCGCCGTTTCATACTGAACCTTGTTGTGCTCGGACCATATGAGGTGGAGGGTTGAGGCTATGAAAAGGATCCATAGAGTCTTGAGGGCATCTTGGTGATGGTGGCCGCGCGCATTGACCGTAAAAAGGTCAAGGTCCGAGATAGTCGACCACGAAAAGGTGACCCCGTAGCACCTCCAGGCATCGCTGTGAAACGCCCATACTCGGTGGATTAGGGGACATGCGTGAAAGGCATGGTGTTGGGTTTCCACTCCACCACAGCCGTAAGCACAGCAGATGACATTGGAACGCTCAACTTGGAGGTAGGCAAAGCGGCAGTTGACAGGCAGCATGTGGAATAGGAGGCGTAGCCACGCATCGCCATGCACTGGTGGAGGCAACCGACAGGTCTGTCGTACACGCCTGGCATAGTTGTGGAGGGCGGCAGCGGTGGCTCGGGCAGTGCTGGACATGGGGTGGGGTGTCTCGGTAGCTGGGGCATGATAGGACAACGCTAACACCATACGCCGTGGCCAGAGCTCGAAAGGGGTGGGAACGTCCTTAGCCAGGCCGTAGAAGGGGTGCCGAGCTGTTGGGGCGGTAAGGGTGGGTAGGGGAGGGAGCTGACGTGGTTAGAGTGTCAGATTGCAAACCGTGAGATTCGGGTTCGAATCCCCACCTGGTTGTACCTTTTTACATTTTTACACACATCTACATACAAAATCATATACAATCCCAAAACCTCTACACTTCGTAGTGGAACTCTTTGATGGAGCAGTGTACCATGGCCAGACGCTGACCTGACCTTGAAAGGCGCTGTTGGAGAAGCGACTGTGAGCGTGAGTACAATTCGCTTGTGTAACAGCGCCTGAGCAAGGTAGACTGTACGGGAGCATAGTCAGCTGCAGACCGAGTCGACTAAAACACCTACAACAAGTCACGCCTAGCAGTCATCTGCAGATCCATCCCAAAACCTAGATTAGGGTGTCTTGGGCTGACATGGCCTCCCTATTCAAACTCTGGAAACCTGTCATTTGCCAATGGGACGCCGAAGTCGTCACGCCGGTTTCATGGTCCTTGGCTATTTTGAAATGACACGTGTCGACAAAAGACCACCACCGGGCATTTAAAATGTTTTCAACCCAATCATTTTTGTAGCCAATCATTGATTAGTATTGTCTTAAAATTATTTGATTGGATAATAGCAATCATGTGTTGACAAAACTTCGGTGTCCCTTAAAATCCCTCGTCGTCTGTATGTCGTCGGTAGCGTGATCAACACTGTGAAGGTTCATGATTTTGGAAACTTCGTCTTGCAAACAAGGCTTTCGCGTAAGGAAAAAGTATCGTACCAAAATCACTGGAAAGTGGGTTTGTTGTAACGAGGATTGTGATTTTGCAGTTCGAGCGTCAATGCGTGTGGACAAGTTTGCTTCTATAACTACCATGAACTTGTTGCACAACCACCACCTTTTCGAAGCCTCGGATGCGAGTCGCCACCCCGATTTGACGAGTTTGTGGTGAGAATTCTTGTAGTTTTGAATTTATGATAGTTACATTACTAATTTAATTTCTAGTACTTACATAACTAATTTAACTTCTGTTAATAATAGTTACATAATTAATTTAACTTCTCATTAGCCGTGTGGAACCACTTGTGCTTGGCGTGTGAGACTTGGCGGAAGCCGAGATATGCGCCAAGGCGTAAGAACAACTGTATACAAGTAGCCGATGGACTTGGTGAACATCGACTTTTTTGCTATGCGTAGTAGATATACCCTCGGGAGTTGGCCCTATGGGTAGGGCTAAGGGGAATCAAAGCATCAACAGCAGTAGACCTCCAGAATGCGTACTACAATGGGTGGTTGCATTGCCTTTGTCACTGGCACGCTGCTGTTCGGGGCGGACGGAACGATCGTATGGGGGCGCCACAACTTTGTCGGCAGCTGGCACGACGCTGACAGAAGGTTGCCGCTTTGGGACAAGTTGTTGGTTCCAAATGCAACTCTTGCCCGTCATGACGTGGTGTCGGGCAATCTATTCGGCAAGATAGGACGCCGTTGAAAGATGGCAACTTGGATCATGCTTCACGTGAGTGCAGAGCTGGGTTACTCCGAATCAGTGTTGCACTAACATCAATTCACCAGGCCGCTGAATGGGGCTTGGGTGCAGCAGAACAAGTTTATCGACAGTTGCTTTTACCATTTTCATGCAATCCAACATTACGTGGCTTGCGCTTGCAAAATATTTTTATGCTGTATAATTTTAGGGTTTGGTATTTCATAAATTAAATCGGTAATGCAAGGTTGCATGTACTTGTATCGTGCGAGTCAATACTGGAAGCATTTACTACTTTCATGTAGCGAAACACAGTTATGAAACTGTATTAGACTAATTGTATGTACTGTATCAAGCAATTACTGTAGTAAATACAGCTAGCATACACTGATCGAACTTCTCGCGCCATTCTTGCATCTCAAGCTGCTGGGTTCGGAATGCTGCATCACGCTCCTCCATTTTTATAACAAAGTCAATCAATGTAGCACCATCCATGCATACCAGATTCCATGCGTTGCCGTTTTCTGATTTGGTTGTCGGTCAATCTTGCGACGGCGGACCGCAGTTTGGCTCATCGCAGGCTCTGCACCACGCGACCTTCCCAAGGCGTTCAAGTCTGCAGGCTATAACCCGGTCCGCATGGCTATCAACCAACGCATCAATGGGAGCAGCATCACCGTCCGAAGCGCCATCGTTGTCATTGCCCTCATTGGGGGGCTGCTGGCATGATAGCAAGTCGCAAACTCCCATTGCGGCTTCGATTGCTTGTTGGAGTCGCTTTGCTCTTGATACAGTGGGCGGACACATGGAGTCGCCAGTGGGTTTGCGGATACTTCGAAGAACCTTGAACTTTCGCTGGATGCTGTCGCCGTGGCGTTCTGGCCACCCTCGTTCGCTTGAATTGACGTGTTGTACGTCTCTTGAATGATGTCCCAGTGCGCTGGCCCCCAAGGCAGGTGAACTTCGACGGTATCAAGCATCACGTGCACCTCGGGGTCTGTCCATCCTTTGCCTCGCGATGGCTTTGCCATTGGAGGACATCGTCAAGTGTCTTCGACACAACTGGGCAACAATACTGCACAAGGTTTTGATTGGCTTGCTATATCCAATCACAGCTAAGCTTATGCATTTTTCAATGGCTGACCAAATTTGGTCGAAGTTTTTCAGCATCGGCTCAATAATATTCACTCACAGTACGGATAAATTATGTACCACAATGGGTTCAAACGGAAGTCCCCCACTTATAAAAGCATTTACTTAGGGTCTGGTTTAACAGTAAGTAAAGAATCACCCACTTTTTCAGCACTCACTTTTCCTCGTAAACTATGTGGGCACTCACTTATATAAAAAGTTGATCAAATACACTGTACCAACTTTTTGAAAAAGTGGGTGGTTTGACTTGAATTTGAGTAGGTATAAATTATCAACAAGTTATTAATAATGAAGTGAAAAGTTGGCCCATACTAGTATTATGGATACCGGATAGCAACTTGAGCGTCAGTTTCCCCAAACCAGTCTTCTGCCGAAGCACAATGGAGACCGGGGATATCGTAGCGTTCGCAATACAGTTGCAGCAGTAGCTTGTGTGGTTGCCGTTGTCGGACACGACGGCAGGTCAAACAAGGAGCCAACGATGAATGTTTACGCCATTCGAAACAACGACTGGCAAGGTATTTATGCCCTACAGTACTATGCCAACATCATTTCACAACTAAAACTGTTCTACGTCACATGCATCGCAGCCTGCCCAGGAGATGGGCGGTACAACCGCAACTTGCGCGTCAGCAGGTGCACATTTGACCAAATTCGTTTTGGATGCCCTTGGCTTCTTCTATGTCGGGCTGTCATTGGCAGCCACTTCTATTTGCCCAAGCTTCGTCATTATGAGTGATTGGCCATGAAACACCGCTACTATCCGGGCACGTTTTACACTGACCAGTTATTATTTTACCGGATTACTTCAACCAGCACCAACTTTTTCTCACCCAAAAAGTTGTCGAAAAAAATCAGGTGGATTTTACTTCAACCAGACCCTTAGAGGTGTTAACTGTCAAGGACTGATTTATACGGATAACCCTTAGATAGGACTCCATGCAATCTTTATAATAATTCCCATTCAATTTACACTGAAGGCAGACCTTGGTGGAGGTGAGCGCTGCTCAGCTGCTTCCGCAGCGGCACGTTTTCCGACGTCCTTGACATTGTTCGTGGCGGGCGAGAGCATTATACACGTTATGCTGCATGCCGCGTTCACGCCAGTCATGAGTGCCACAGAAATCCCCATGATCATGGTCGGGTGTGGCTCGTCGGTCGTGGCGCTGTTCAGGCAATTGGGCGGGGCATCTACACCAAGGCCGGCGATGGCAGCACCGATATCGTCGGCAAGTTCGAGCAGGGCATCCCCAAATACGACCCGCGCGGCGCGTACGCATAGTCGGTGTAGTACTGCGCCGACTTGACAAAAACGTAGGCGGTAACCATGCCCACGATGCCATGCCCACGATGACGCAGAGGAAAAAGTGCAACCACGCGCCGGGCGCGGCGGACGAGAAGAGAAGCCACCGCGTGGACAGGCCGAACCCTGCCAGCACCAAAAGGAATGTGATCGAGTACCCGCGTTGGAGCGTGGTCATCGGGTCCGACTCGGTTGGTCCGGGCTCTGTCACGCACAAGATGCCGATGGAGGACACGACAATGTCGAAATCGTGCACGACCATGGGAAAGAACACAAACGACACGGGGGACTCGATCGCGACTTCCTTGGCGAGGGAAATGACACCTATAATCTCGGCTGCGGCGCTCTCAACTCAAACACGTGGGCGTAGCTCCCGACGCAGTCGACGACCATGTCCCCAACCAAGTAGGAAATCACCGACGGGTTGGTGCGATCGATCGCCAAGGCCAGGACCACTGGGCACGTCACCAACGCATGGTTCCTATGATGTGTGCGGCAATACGAGTCACTACATTTGTAGCGAGATAGGCATTGGTTCATTGACAGGAACTTCCAACATTTTCATGACGACACTGGTGACCTAGTTTTCTCTCTTATGCCAGTGGCATCACGACGATGTTGGCAGCACACTTAATCTCTATACTGTAATGAAGCTCGACGTAGCAGTAGGTAATGCGAAAGCACGCTACTTTCGCGTCATCGTAGGCTCGTATTACTCCCAGCGCACCCCCTATGCTATACTAGTAAATGTTAACGAGTTCGGTCGTGCGACGGGTCGCGGAAGCGGTGTTCTGCAGCGTGCAGAGCAATTGGGTCGCGCTTTAGTTTGACCCATTGCAAACACACACTCTCTGTGTGTGTGGCGTGTCAAAGGTTCCGATACCTTAGTGGAGGTACTCAGTATTTTAGTGAATGGTAGTCAGTAGGCGCCTTGTGGAGTGTTTAACCTCACTAATGTCAGTGTGTATATTTGCTGCCTTGACGAAGGTCCCGCGGCCGAAAGCCAAGTAGAAGCGGGAGACAAAACAATGATATCTTTAGTTAATTGTTGAGCTATTCACTGGAGATGGTACGAGAACATTCCTCCGACGAGGAAACACCAACGAACGCCGAAGAACGATCGCAGTCGCGTGACCGGATCGAGGAGCCGCGAGGACGCACTGCTCGGCGCACCGTTGAGAACCCGTTCAGATCTCCCCGACGACGACAGCCACCTGCTGTCGACGAGTGGCACGTGGTGGGTTTTACACCCCCGCCACAACCCGACGAACACCAGCTGTCGCAGCGTTTGTCAGCTACTGCTCCACCAACGACTGAAGCAGATGGCGCGTCAGTGCCGTTGCCAGCCGACAACGACCCGTCTGACGTCCGTGACGATACGGATATGGGCAGCGATGGCGGCTACGGCCGTACGGCACCGCAAGCTTGGAACGCGCCGGGGCTACCGCAGCCGCCGACATTTTCGGGCTCGACCAAGGCCGAAAGACGCGCTTTTATGCGAGAGTACCAGAAGTATCTGGGACAGATCAACGCTCTGCAGTGCAATAGATCACGTGCGTTCGCGATGCATGTGAGTGCCTGCTGGACCCGTTCTCGAAGCGCCAGATCGCGCTGTTCGACTTCAACCGCGACCACCATTCCATCACGAACGATGAGTGGGTCGCGTAGTTCAAGTCAGCGTTTGAGGAAGACCCTCAAGATCTGGACGTTTTGAAGCAACGTCTGCAGCGAGCAATTCGCTTCGATACGAAGATCTTGGACGCGGAGTCCCGCGTCGGTCGTAGGCATGACGAGCTGATGCGCTCGCTGGAGCAAGACCATCAGGAGTGGGTGCTCCATCAAGAAGGTAAGATGGTCGTCGAAGTCATGACGAAATCAATCAAGCCGGAGTCGCTGAAGACAGCGGTTCAAAAGCAGCTGCAGTTGTAGCGGAACAAGGCGTTGAACAGCGACGTCTTTCGTTACGTCAACTGGCTGCGAACATTTGCAGCTGGCCACCAGCTATACGTGGGACTCGACGACGAGTCCAAACCTTCCCCGGCAGCGAAGCCGGTAGAAGCTCCATGAAGCGGCAAGCCTCGTATGCCCAGACGTGACAGCGGCCGGGAAGACGCCGCCAAGAACAATGGCAGAGTCGGCGGAAAGGCCGAAATGATTGCACCCAAGAATACCGAGCCCCCTGCCAGGAAGGACTGCTTGACATGAGTTACCGTGTGGCGCAGTGCCCGAAGACCGCGCCTGGCGAAGCTGAAACGTTGTTGGTAGCGCAAGTCAAGCCTGGAAGGACGGCATCAAGGTGCTGGTCAACCAGCCGCAGCGCCAAAAGACATAGCGCGGCGTGCTCTTGGAGAATATCGTCCGCGTGGACGATGTGCTATTGGACTCTGGTTCGGACGTGACCGTTGTCACGCGCGGCGTCATGGATGCGTTGGACGCAGCCGGTGTCAAAGTTGGGACCGTCTCTCATAGCGTGCGCATTTGGCGTACCCGTATGGCAGTGACGCCAAACCAGTTGCGATGACGCGCAGCGTCAAGTTCAACTGCGTGACGCTGGACACGACGTGTGTTGCGCGGTCTGAAGGCCTGGGTCGACGACGCGTCGACTGCCACCGAACTCATCGTGAGTCGCCCAGTCATGGAGTTACTGGGCTTCAGCGTTGAAGAGCTCCTTGTGGGAGAAATGAAGAAGAAGGAAGAATGGGACGTTTCGTCCGTGCCGACGAATGAATTGTCCGGCATGGCGAACGTCAAGCGCCTGATGGCGGAGAAGCTGAATCCGCCGGAGCTCGACCCCAACGACGGGATGGGCTGCAGCCCCAAGGATCGTGCCGAAGAAGGAAGTCGGCGACTCGCGCATGACGATCGACAGCAGTTGCCGCTGCATGCGGACAGCCAGATGTACTTCTCGTTCATGACGCCCTTCGGCGTGTACACCCCGATCCGCGCACTCATGGGACAGACGGACGCTGTCGCATACTGCCAGTCAGTTGTCCACCAAATGTTTAGTGAGCTGCTGTTTCGAGGCCTGTTGGCCTGGCTCGATGACTTGCTGGGGTCCTCCAAGACGACGGACGAGCTGCTCGACTTGTTGGACCAAGTCCAGTCCATCTGTGCCCAGTTCGGACTCAAGTTGAGCCCGAAGAAGTGTCATTTTTTTTTTGCGCGAGGCAGAATGGTGTGGCAAGGTGATTTTGGCCGATGGAATCACCATTTGAACCAATGCAAGCTTCGAACGGTGTTGTGATCCACCGAAACCCTACAGCATGGTGGAACGGGTCAATATGCTATTCCTCAAGTATTACTTCAGCCAGCGACCCGACCGTGCCACCAAGAAGGTCTTGCTCATCTGGGATGACGTTTCGGCTAACTTCACCGACGAGGTGACTGCCTACGCCAAGGAGTTAAATGTCGTTTTGGAACGTGTGCCCCCCCAACTACACGTGGATTTGCCAACTTGCGCCAACTGGTGCGGTCCAAGCAGCGTGGCGCCTTGTTCAAACTGGTCCCTCCGTCGCGCGAAACCATTGTGTCTTGGGTCTCAAGTGCATGGGCCGACACTGAAACATCTGCAATTCTCAACGGTTTCAAGAAGTGCCGCCTCATGGTTGCCCACACGAACTTTACATAGGAGATCTTTCAAAGCAGACACACGCGGCCAAAGAAATCCTCGACGATCACGCGGTCCGACGACACGGCGGTATTGCGATCAAGGTCGTGGCGGTCCAGCGTGCCACTGATGGGTTTCTTCTGGGGTGGAAAGCACGATGAGCGCCCACTGGTCCGGGTACGTTTGGAATCGTTCCCCATTAGAGACTTTGAGCAAGTGCGAAATCTTGACTTTCCAGACTTAAACTTCGATTCGAACTTCGAAGCTTGCAGACTTTGCTCGGAAACAGGTCTGAAAAGTGAGGAAGTCATCACACTTTTGGCCTCGAAGTCAGCAGACATATGACTACTTTCCGAGCCAATCAAATAGCTCTATTGAGGTTTGCTCCACTCACACCAACATGCTCCGTCCGACTCGCTTCAGCCGACGCATAGGTAGTTAAGACGATGTAGGGTTACGATAGTGCACAAGCGCGGGTATGTACAGTGATGCAGGACGCTAGTCTGAGTTTGTAGCTCAGGGCAGTACATCACAGTATACTCCCCGCCGCCGCGCACCAAGCCGCTGATGATTGCCGCCTGATCAACCTATGCCAAGGCATGAACGACGGGCGGCGAGCTCGGTCCTGACTACGTAAACCTATGTTTGGTCGCCACGATACTTGACGGCCAAACAGAGGGAGAATCTTGACTCAAGATCCTCAAACTTCGAAAGCAGCGGGCATTGAGACCGCTGAGCTAGTCCGAGTCCCTACAGTCCAAAGCGTTCGATGACTATCGTTTCATAACGTCGCACATGAGACACAAATCCACATTCTACACGCCCTTATTGTGAGTTCTACTCAAAATTTCCGTGCGCGATTCGTTGAATCGCGACGGAGAAATCGCGCCACGAATGAAACTTCCTGTGAAAACCTATAATTATGATGTGTGCAAGGGTTTCTGCCTCCAAACGCCAAATGGTCGATGGGAGTTCACGCCGACGCAGTCACCCAGTAAGGCAGCTTCCTGGCGTCACTCTGCTTCATCTCAATCACCCTTCCGTAGATTTCGCCAAGAAAGCCCAGGCATTGGCCAAACTCCTGCACATCCAGTTGTGCACAACTGAGTGTCGCCATATCCGCTGCGCGTTCGTACTGCAGCTCATCGCGTCGAAAGTCAGACCCCGTCGGTGCAACCCTACCCGAGGTGATAGTACCCGTAAAGACAATGGTAGACAGTGTTCGGATGGGCATGTTGTCGTGTGGCTGCAGCCTCCATGATGCAAAATGCTCCCCCACACCAAGACCAAAATTATTTGCCGAAAAATGTGTTTGTTTTGACCAATAATTGTCCTGGATTCACTTGAGAAATATTTCAATTCAGTGGGCTGAATGGTGCTGTTTCAGCAAATTTGGGCCGAATTCACAATATGTGTCTCTCGTTGAATTGCGCGCAATGAAGTCATACCGGTTGGCACAGACATCGATAAAATCGAACGAAGTACAAAGTATGTAAACTACTCACATTTCGCACTTGCTAAAAGTCTCTATTGTCATTGATCGCACGATCGGCAGCATTTTGTTTTAGGGTGGCGACATGGATTTCGATGCGAGAGCGGATCATCGTCAGATCCGTGATAGAATCAGGTTCATGCATTCTCATATCAACGATGTATCCTTCCGGTGACACTGACGCTTCAATCTTGAGACCGTAGAGCTTGTGCTTCCCGCTGAAGTAGTGCTTTTGCTCCCCAAAACAGCCGATCGGACGAGTCGCTGGCTGAACCTTGACATCCGTCGCGTACCTTGCATACGAGTACTGAGGGCATCCCCACCGGTGCGACTGTATAATCAGACTGTAAAATACCGTTTTACAGTTTCTATATTTTGATTTTCGTCAACCCCAGCGGTAAAACTGTAAAATCCGAATAATTTTTTTATCCGGAAATGAACGCCTGGCGCGCACGTTTGTGCATGATGGCGTGGGAGGACGACGATGATGACATGGATCAAGCTTGGGTGATTCTTGGCTTTCATCAGTCTTCTGCGCCCTAAAGGCTCTACTGCCAACCGCCAGCCAAACCTACCACGAGATAGCGAGGCTGCGCATGCTCGGATTTACCTACTACTTTGGCCCCAATCCAATCTACGGCGAAGCCAAGTTTCGCCGTCGTTTTCGAATGGCCAGACCGCTGTTCGAACGAATCATGGACAGTTTTGTGATGCGTGATGAGTACTACCCTTGGACGCATCTTGAGAGATGTTGATCCATGACCGGGCAAGCTGGCAGTCTTCGTCGGTCGTGAAGTTGGAGCCACGGACGGCCTTGGCTGATTCCATTTCTGAACCAACTGATTATTGACTCAACTGTATTTTACAGTGGACACTGTAAATCTGGCCGATTTGCCGTCTCGCGGTAAAATTTTACAGTTTCCTGTATTTTACAGTCGCCCGGTGGGGTTGTCAAAACTGTAAATAATCCGGATAGAACTGTATACTGTAATAGCGTTTACAGTCGCACCGGTGGGATACTCTGATGGAACAACTTGTTCTTGTCCCGGAGGTTGGCATCGTGACGAATGACTCGCAGAGGATTGGTTGGACAACTTCGACGACGTGCAGCACGATCTTCTCCAAGGTAGGAGCTTTCATGTCGAAGTCCATGGCATGCATGTTTGATAGTACTTAAGGATAAAATACGTCATGAATAGGTCGCGGGGGGGTAGTTGTCGATTTGCACCCGCGTCCCTCGTGCCAGCGAGAAAAGAGTGCGGCCTCCACCAGTCCCCAAATCGTGTCGAACTCTGTTGGAGTGAAGTTAGTGAAGGTTCTGAACGCGTCAATGCCACCACCTTCGATGACCTTGTCGATGACGGGGTGTCGTACGCCGGTGCGTCGTTTTCTTCATCTGCGAGCTCGCCGAAGTCGTGCAGTTAATAAGAGCACAAGTATTGTCGATTTGATACAAATTTGGGGAGGGGGTGCAATCGAATCGCGCCGACCAAACCGATCCACAATCGATCTGATTGGTTGAATTTCATTTATAAGGTATTTTTATTGGTTAATAATTTTGAGCTCATCTGAAGTAGCCAATCAAATCGATTTAAATTCCAACGAGAAACCACAACACGAAATTTCACTCGAAAGCACAAAATGTGCTTTGCATTTACAAGGGTGAATAAATGCCTGGTGTTTTTGCTAATTCACTGGGGTTTTATAAATGCCAAATAACTCTGAGCAATAATAATTACCTGTAAAGTTAACGAAAAAAACCAGTTTCATAGTAAGATATTTAACCAATTTAGGATAACTTTGTACTGCCAATCACACCTCGTTATTTGTTCAATTCAAAACCTCTGTTATATAATACTAACCATTCCGTCACGTGAATGAAATGCAAAATCGGCGTAGAAGCCATCGGTAACAGTCATTCAAGATTGGGTTTGAAGTACCCTAGTCGACACGGATCTGAGGTTTTGTCGAGTGTAAACTTCGAAGTACTGTACATCAGTCAGGCAATACGAGGCCACGTGCTCCTGTTCAACCCTTCCCGGTATCATCTTCCAGAAATACTGCGTGTTGATTGAATTAATATTACTAGTACTTGAAGTGCTTCAAGTATATTTTATGGTCAACCACACATTTCAATGTCGTCATTCTTCAATTTGCCACCTCACACACACTGCTCAGTGGGTCCGCGGGTATGTAAATAATCGATCCCCTTGCGCATTCAGCCATCCGTTAGTACCTAGCAAGGTTCATTCTATATCTAGGCACTACATAAATCAAGACTATAGAAGATGTCGTACAGAAGCAGCACGAAGCACGATATACGTGGAACTTTGGCGGCTTGTGGCGTAGGCTGGTTGCTGCGGGAGTCTGGTAGCATGCAGTACAGTTCACACGACTGCTCCAGGCCACGAGGCCTGAAGCAATCGTTCGAGGTTTAGTCCCATGTATACGTATAGCTACTCGCAGTAATAATAAACACTATATCCTGATTCGCGTCCGCTTCATGCCATCAATCGGTGGTTGGTCATAGGGCCGTCGATAAGTTTAAGGTATTTCGTGATTTCCTTCATATGTGAGTTTAATTAACCAATCACATTGCTAATAGTCACACGT